TCCCAAGCTATTTCACTCACCCCTGCATGTTCGGCATGAATCCACACACCCCTGATGTTATCTGTCAAACTTTCATAGCGAATCAAAACAAACATAGTGTAGTAATAGAATTTCAACTAGAATAGGGTACGTTAATCGTTTGCTTGGGACCAATAGGCTACTAAAGTGGTGAGCCAATTTAAAATCGTTAGTTTCGTATTGATTGTTGTTATAACTCTGTGGTCTGAACGTACTATTATAGTTGCTTTATGTTTTTACAATTGGCACAAGCAGAAGAAAACGCTATTCTTTGGAACGGTGGTCATGAGTTGACTGTGTTTTTCTCTTGGTTTTTTCTTTATTATTTTATTTTTTAAACTTTACTCCAAATGAAACATCTGTTTTATCGTTGAGAAAAATGAATAACGTTTGTAATACTAGCTTATAGCACAAACGAAGTGACAGACGACTAACTGGCGAAGAAATCAATTAAAATAATGTGGTTCACTGTAATAGAATTTTCTTAGAAGCTTCTGCCATCATCCACCAGATGGGATAGTATTTTTGTTTTGGTTTTGCACAAAGTTGATTTTGTGAACAATGATTCTTTGACAGTGTGCAAAGAGTGCGTATCATTTTGTCATTTTTTTATGCATTTCAGTTTTGAGTAGAGTGAAAGAGATAGAACCAAAACATTCTAGTACATTTGGTGAAATTGCTAGTTCAATCCAGTAGTAGCAACAATCAATACGAAACTAACGATTTTAAATTGGCTCACCACTTTAGTAGCCTATTGGTCCCAAGCAAACGATTAACGTACCCTATTCTAGTTGAAATTCTATTACTACACTATGTTTGTTTTGATTCGCTATGAAAGTTTGACAGATAACATCAGGGGTGTGTGGATTCATGCAGAACATGCAGGGGTGAGTGAAATAGCTTGGGACTGCTTGGGACCGTTGTTCTGGTACTGAGTGAGCCAAAAATAAGAATGATTTTCTTCGGGACCCAGTGGTCTTAGAGTTACCTCTATGGTAGTAGCATAGAGGTAACTCTAAGACTAGAAGGTCCCGAAATAACGTGCTCATCTTTTTGACTCAACTCTGGTACTCTCTTCGGTCCCAAGCTAATCAATTCACCCCTCGAAAATCCACTAACCCCTCATTTTATCTGTCAAACTTTCATAGCGAATCAAAACAAACATAGTGTAGTACTAGAATTTCGACTAGACTGGGGTACACTAATCGTTTGCTTGGGACCAATAGGCTAGTCAAGTAGTGAGCCAATTTAAAATCGTAAGTTTCGTATTGATTGTTGGTAGTAGCATAGAGGTAACTCTAAGACTAGTAGGTCCCGAAGAAAATCATTATTATTTTTGGCTCACTCAGTACCAGAACAACGGTCCCAAGCAGTCCCAAGCTATTTCACTCACCCCTGCATGTTCTGCATGAATCCACACACCCCTGATGTTATCTGTCAAACTTTCATAGCGAATCAAAACAAACATAGTGTAGTAATAGAATTTCAACTAGAATAGGGTACGTTAATCGTATGCTTGGGACCAATAGGCTACTAAAGTGGTGAGCCAATTTAAAATCGTTAGTTTCGTATTGATTGTTGGTAGTAGTGTTGCCATGTGGTACAATCCAGTAGTAGTGGTGTTGCCATGTGGTACACTGAAAAATTGCAATAGCAGGTTAGTCACCAAAGTTTTCGAGCCGCTCCGTCCGTCAATTCGTTTGTGCTTATAGTACGTTCAGACCGAGGTTCAGACTACAGAGTTATAACATGTTATAGCACTATCTTGATGGTGGTTTCTGTGTTGCAATTATTTGACAACCGTTATAACATGTTATAACTCTCCAGTCTGGACTGCGTTTTAAAGTATAAAGTATTTCTAAAAACGTATATATTTCTTGTAATAGTTTCCTATAGAGCCTTTGACAATCCCAGCCATGCATGTACAAGTAACAGTGGTCTACATGGGATGGACATTTTGATTCTTCTGGCTCACATAAACCAAAACAGGAAATCAAAGCAGGTTAATTTTGCTTGTGCATATTTATCTATTTATCAAAAATGAAATGGAGGTTCGTTTTGCAGAATGTATTTTTTTACTCTTATGTTCATTTTAAGAATAAAAATAAATTTCAAGTGCAAGGGAGAGGAATCCACAAAGATAAATCTTGTAAATCGGTTTTTTTGATGGATATCATTTCTGATTCAGATCTTTGTTTTCCAATCGTCAACTTGTCAATCTCAACTTAGTTTCCCCATTTTTTTGTAGGTTCAGATTCGTTTTAAGAATCTGAGTGGATCCTACTCAAATTTAGGTAGTTTTGTAATACATGTTAACCCCAAAATACAAAATAATGGCTATAAAAGACTCGATATCCACTAACTAAGTAAATGACTTGACACATGACTTTTACTTTTAATTCGATTTACGTGTAAATTAATAATTGATTGCATCGCAATATTTTGCTCATTTTTTTGTGCCATTAATTAACCAACTAAGATCAATTAATCAATAGCGATGGAATATTGCTTTTGATTCCAAAAATTAGTTGAATTTGAGAAGCACACGAAACAAAAAGGTGATTGACTTTCTGTTCGATTGCAATACTCTCAAATTTAATCTAGTAAGAATAAGAAATCCTCGGAAAAAATCTAATGGGTATGTTCGTTTGGCTCAGATTTTGACAGTTCATTTGGCTCAAAACATTCTCTCGGCTCATCTCTCCTTCTAGTATTTCTATACTTGATACTTATTTTTGTAGATGTAATTAATCATACACAGCAAAAAAAGCTGTTGAATATTACATCGAAACTGCTGCAACCAGGTCAATCGATCAGTTGTGTAATATCACATTGTACGATGTACATCGATTTTGCGAACAAAATTAAATCCATTGATGTAATATTGTATCTGCTTTTCACTATTACATCATTATTTCATACATCAGCTTGAATTACGTTGATCGATATTACATTTTTTTTTGCTGTGTATATGGGTAAAATTTTACTCATTTAATGGGAGTCTCAGTTTCCCCCGAAAATGCTTACTTTGTAGTCATAATTGGGTATTTTGCGGTTACCGTGTTACGTGAACGTCTGATGAACTGGGGGGGGACGTGCTGTCAAATCAGCCTACTGATCATCTTGGATGAAACTGGTTCCAAACGTAAACAAACGCTGTAGATTTCTTATGGCTTGTTTACGTTTGGAACCAGTTATCCGAGGTAGGCGACGATTGTTCGTATTTGACAGCCACCCCCCCCCCCCCCCCCCTTGCTGATGAAGCCGCGGCCACACGCTATTTTGAGGCTACTCAGTGACTGGGTGGATCGCACTCATTTTTGCATGCTGTATGGAGTCAATGACATTTATATAAGGTCTGGGCCATCAGGAAGCTTGCTGGTGTTATAAACAAAAATGTTGTAAACATTGCTGAACAGATAGAAATACGTCACTGCCAACATACTGAGAACCGATAGAAATACGTCACTGCCAACAGCTGTTTCGTGTAAAAAGATAAACATTGCGATAAAATACGAACACCACTAAACATTTCCTCATTTCACTAACGCCAATAACCCTTTGGCACAGACCTTATATAAACGTCATTGGACGCGACACGCGATACGACTCACGCAAGAAATAATAATAAAATTTATTTATTTAAATATTTAGGCTGTGTTCCATTTGGTGAATTTTCACTTAAATTTGACAGATGGAAAATTTTAAAATAAACCTGCTATTGTACCAGACTTATTTCTGACAGACAAGGAATCAATTTTGACAAACACCTCTTCGAAAATCGGAAGATCAACAACAGAGGGGTTTTTGAACATTATAATTTATTTTCGAAGTGTCAAATTTAAGTGAAAATTTATTATTATTATTATTATCTCTATTTAGGAGATTTTCACGTAAGTGAAAATTTACCAAATGGAACGCAGCCATTTCAACCTTGCTTAAATTATCAAATCTTGTCATTTTAGTGGAGATTTAGTTTCAAAGTAGCTGAAAAGCAATTGAATTGAATTGCATAAATTTTACCGAACAGTTCAGCTGTTCAGATTTCTGTAAAAATTACCGAAGTCGGTGATAATTTCTAAGTGTGTAGATTCATTTTTATACTATCTTTGATTAATAATAATTTTGAGTGTAGAACTGGCGCGAAAAAAGACAATATAGCACCAGTTATAATGGTTATAATATGGTAAGAGGTGAGAGGTGAAGCAGATCGTGAAATATTGTTGTTTAGTAAAGCAAAAAATCAACGTAAACGCAAGTAGTGACGTCACTAATTGCTTGTATCATACAGAGGTTTTACTCACACAACTTAACCGATTGCTTCACCTCGGTAATCTAATTCATAGAGATTGCTAAAGTGTGATTGTGTCAGTGATTTGTTTTCATCTGGAAAATTTTTCACTATGAAGTTTTTTTTTCCCGATGAAAACATTTGCGTATACGTATACGTAACGTAGTGTGCATACGATAAACGTCAGCAAGCTCTATTGATAATATCGACAGTGAGCATGCATAAGGGCGAATACGCGATGATCGATTCTCTGCATCGATTTTCTCTTTGCATTGCTACAGCTAAGCGAAACAATTTTCTAGAATTAGTTCAATGCAGAGTAGTAACAGGTTGTATCCCTAATAAATAAATACCATAAACGAACGATAACCCAAATTGTTGAACTTTTCCACAAATGGTTTGGATGATACCCCAAACACGTCATTAAGCAAAATAACCATACAAATTTGATTAGGGATTGGCTATCAAAAGCAACAGCAAACGCACCGAGAAACGTTAAATCTAGCGAGTTATTAACAAAAGAGAAAATCGACGAAGAGAATCGATCATCGCGTATAGGCCATTATGCATGCTCACTGTCGAACTTGATTATGATCAAAATCAGACTGGTCTTATTAGGTCTTATTTAGTGTGTAGCAACTGTCACTAGTTTTGTAAAGTTTGTTTTGTTTTTGAGTCGTAACACTGATTTTTTATTTCCCCGAATTCGATGCGAGAAATTACAGTATAATTTCTTAATTTTATTGTGAAAATCACGTTATACCTCTTTAAGAAAATGGACATTCTTCGTCCTAAAACAGTTCCCCTCTCAGAGGAAACCATTTTATGGTTTGAATTTCTCTTAAAGCCGAACTTGCTTACCAAACATTTGTCCAAGGCATTGCCCGGTATGTATGCTCTCTCGATACTGTCTATCCTGAAATAAATTTGTCCTTGTTTCAGATCCATCACCTACGGAACTAATAACGCAGTTTCTATCGATTGCCCCGGAAAACCAGAACCAGAACGAACTCAACTCACCGGAAGCAGACAGCATGAACAAGAACGAAGGACTCAAGTACAGCAAGAAGCAACTGGCGCTGAAAGTTTTGGCGCTCAAGGTGGCAGCCTTTTTGAGATGGGATTTGGATGTATTGGAAAATAATCTCCCATTGCAAAGGCAGGTCCAGTTGCTGAGTGATTTGTGCAGCGTAACTGCTGGAAAGGCAGTTAATCTGCCGCTTTCGTTAGTACATGAATGTCCTATCATTGGTCCAGAAGGATCCAAACATTCGCTGAACTTTGCCCTAACTCTATACCATCGCTGGGTATTGAGGGCGCAGGTTATTCGAGGATCCGCTGCAAAGTGCATGAAACCCTTTAATCTGGTTGCTGGAGTGCCAGACACCACTCCATACTCGATGAGGGACGATTCTTTCATTAATTCACTAGAACCTTTCACCAACATCAGCATCGATTTCTTGAATCAGGTCCTAGTCGATTCTGAACCGTTTAGAATTCTGACGTATGATTCTTTTGTTGCACTGGATGCGCACGTTGACGGAGTTCAGCAGCGTTTCGATACGGCTCTGGTGATATCTAAGGTGGAGTTGAAAGCCCAAATTCACTACGATCTGTGCCTATTGTATCTGTACGTGCAGAAATACGAACTGGCCAAGCAGAACATTCTTCTGAGCAAAGATAATTTTGAACAACTTAAGCAAGAGTATAGCAAGAAAACATCGAAAACGTTTCTCTACTGCAGTGTAGATGAGGAACAACTGTATGGGTACATGCTAGCGTGTGGAGTAACTGGTGAACCGAATGGATTACTTCAGCGCTTGAATGAATCCGTTGTTAATCATTATTCCGATATCGTTGTTATTCTGAAGGAGGACAACATTAGACGAGAGATTCCCATGACACAGAGAAAAACGTTGGAGTTGAATGTGGAAGGGTACGTGTCGATGGGTAGCCCGGAGTCTCACGCTAACGATCAGAAGGAACTGGAATTGGCGGTAGTGGCGTTAAACGTGATTCGTCATGTGTTGGATGGTGATGATATACTTGGTTCGAACATAGCTTTACAGAAGTACAAGCAGCAGCAATTAAAGCTTCTGGAGCTAATGTTGCAGTATGGAGATGAGCAGTTTGAGGAATTCAGCCTATCGGATCGAGAAGTGTTGAAGAAGTACTTTATTCAGACAATCAGTTTGATGAACAACGCGAATGGGATAGAGCCGGTGCTGAAGACCTACCAAAAGCTTATTTCTTTCCAAGAGTATGAGGATTTAAAGAAGCAAAAAACGAAGGACGACGTGCAATTTACAGGAATTGGAGTTCTAGCCGACTGGACTGTTTGTGAGTCTAAAAGTTAGTGAAAATTGTATTCTTGAAACGTGTTTTATTGCTACATGCTTTTGTTTTTTCGTTGCAGTGTTACGACTAGATGTTGGTACTTACGAACGTCAACTGATCACCTGTACCCATGCGAGTGGTGTGCGCAAAATGTTAGTAAAACTGGCCGGTACAAATCCAACAAAACCCCTATGGTGTATCAATCCAAGTTGGTCTATCCCTCTGCCGATGAAGCAGCTGTTGATTTCAATGCAACGTGGCTTTCTACAAGATTTTGCCTACATCTTGGTGGGCAAATCTCGTGAGCTTGCTGCCAAAAAGGATTATTCGGCGGCTATCGCATTGCTCACTTGTCTCAAAAGTGAAACCACGCGGCCAGAATTAGCAAACAATCCTCTGGTGCAAAAACTGGGTAAAATGGCCGCCTGGGAAGGTCTTTTAATTCAAATTCAGCAGGTTTTGGACGAGTGGCCAAAAAAGCCAACCGACCAGGTACAATTCATTCGCAGTTGTAAACAATGCCTCAATGCAAGTTCCAGCAACGATGTAGCGCCACGGGCAAACGTTCTTGAGCATTGTGCTGCAATTCTATTGAACTTGAACGATTGGAACAGTTTGTTGACCCCGGATAAACGCTATCCCGCCTTGGAATTGAGTGCAGCCTTATCACAAGCTTATCTGGATATCGAAAAATTCAAGGGTACGAAGAAAAACAGTCGCGAAGCGTGGGATCAAATCCTCCAAATGTTCATCAATCAACCGGGTTCACGGCGGCATCCATCCGACAGTAGTATCATGTTGCAACAGTTTTTCTACAAACTGAGAGATCCTGTGGTGATATCGATTGTGCTTTCACTACTGGCTAGGCTGCATAATATTTTGAAGGACGAAACCAACCTGGATCTGAATGCAGAGTACATGTTTTTGTGGCCGACGAATGTTAACAAGTAAGTGGACTAGCCTTTACATCCAGCATGTATTATTAAATGAGCCATCCATCTTTTGCAGTCCTGCAGTATACAATATAAAGGTCCTGGACGAGACGCTGAACAATTTGCTGCAACAATCTCTCAAATTTTACCCGAACAACATTCCTTGGATAAAGCTGAAAGGCGATTTCGAGTTTGCAAACGGAAATTTCGAGGTGGCGATGCGGTACTATGTAACTGCTCTGGTGTCAGGTTCGGAATACTGCACGATTCATTTGCAACGTCCGTTGATCGATGATTTCATCATACGGCGGATGATAAAGTGCAGCTCGAATCTAGGCTGCTTCATGCAAGCGGCTGTCTTGTGCCAGTTCTTGGATGAAACCGACTACGGATTGGCATTCAAAAGTGTCAGCGAGAAAACATCCAGCTTTTCCGATGCCATGGATTCATACTACAGCTGCATTTGGGATCCAACCATGTTGGAATTTATCGTCAACTGGCACTTCAAGAAGGGCGAACATAAACGAAGACTGCAAGCGGTAATTTCGTATGCCATTGTTCATATCTCGGTAATTCCTAACAACTTCCTTTTATAGATATCATACCTGGGACAGCTTGAGCTCAATGCTAACAATAACGAAGAAATCAAACGTGAAGCTGCTGCGATAAGAAAGACTCGTTTCCTTCGCTCATTGGCAAAACAATATATGCTATAATATTATAATTAAAAAGTCGTCCACATCTATAATACCGTATTATGTTTATTGATGTAAAAGCAAACGCTTAATGTAATGAATAATAAAGGAGGTTCAATATAGTTACTTATCAGAACGAGAAACATCTCTTCTTACTTAGGCTTACGCCCCGGCTTTCCTCCAGTGGTCTTTGCCTTCTTCGAAGCCGGAGTTTTTTTGTCCTCTGCCTTTCTCTTGGGATTTGGCGTCGATGGGAGCACCTTGAAGAATGAGTCCAATCTTCCTTGAGTGGCAGTCGATTTGGTTTTAAGAATCTTTTTCGCTCCAGCTCGAATGCGATCTTCGTTGAACTGTCGATCGCCGCACAAGTATTTTACTAGACCTTCCTCATCTGGTTCTCCCCACTTGAGCTCTAGCTCATCTGCGTTGGCAACTTCCGGTTCTTTGAACAGGCTACGAGCCTGCTGGTAGTTCCAATTTTCGGGCACGATATATTTCTTGGTGTCCAGATTTTCCAGAATTTTTTCGATCGACCGGTGCTTATTGATCAATTCGATTGCCTTCTTGGGACCAATTCCTCGGATACTGTCGCAATAATCGCATCCTAGAAGGATACATAAATCAATAAATTCGTCACGAGTCAATTCAAGCCCTTGAAGTATTTTGTCATAATTGAATTCCTGCACCGGCATCTTCCGAGCTTCACTGAAAGTCAAATGACGAAGTAAGACGTTGGAACCGAAAGTCAGTGCGTCCATATCCTCTGTAGCGGTCGCATAAGCCTTTCCTCCTTTGACTAATGCTGCGCACTGTGCTTCAGCTTCACAAGGAGCATCAACGTATGGCACTCCCATCAACTTCAATAACTCCTTGGCTTCATTCGAATGTTGCTTCGTGACCTTGACCAAACGCCGATTGAATTTGTCGATATCCTCGGTGACACCGGCTTCCGTCGCTTTGTCCAGCGCCTTTTGTGCTTCCTCCCGTTTCTCGGCACGTTTAGCCAATTCTCCTGACTTAAGATCTGGAGGCTTACCGTCGAAGACATAAACCGGTTTAATCCCGTTCTCCATTAGGCGAATTGTGCGGTAGAAGGTCCCCATCAGATGCGAAGTTGTTTCTCCATCGACGGATGTCAACTGAGCTCCTTCGGCTCTTACCGCAATCAAAAACTGATACAGACACATGGACGCATCTATAGCGACCTTTCTTCCTACATTGAAGAACAACTCAGTTATAAACAAAATAGTCAATTTGATTCAACGTCCTTCAAACTTACCAAAGAAGTTTTTAATTTCCCCTTCCTTTACCGCAAATGGAGCCAGATCGGCGATGAGCTGGGAAAGTCCTTTAATTCCCATGATGGCTCGTCTCCAACACGCTTCCAGTCAGACGATTAGCAAGGAAAATAACACAGCACTATCAGATATACAAATAAGCTTCGATTGATGATTATTATAATACGCATTTACTTGCAAAAACAATTTACTTTCATTGATTTCACTTACCGCACACGAATTTACAAGCAAATTGGAATAAATGTGCATGCGAATGCGAGCCAAAGCCAATGACATTAATATAAGGTCTAGGCCATCAGGAAGCTTGCTGGTGTTAGAAGGAAAAATATTGTAAACATTGCTGAACATACTGCAAACAGAAAGAAAACGTCACTGCCAACGTGTAAAAAGATAAACATTGAAATGAAATACGAACACCACTAAACAAAACATGTGCTTAGTTACTATCAACAAGAAGACCTTTGACGGATACCTTTATAAATACATTGAGGCAAAGCGTAAATTTTCCGCCAAAATAACAATACACTACAAAGTCCTTAACTTAAAACAGGTAACCGTATGTACAGGTACACGCTATTTCAAAACTCCCCAAATTTGGATAGAATCCACCCAGATCGGTGAAAATTGCACATTGTATACACGGATGGTAGTAAACGTCATTTTAACTGCTCGAATGAAGTGGTTAATTGCGGAAAGGTGATAGTTGCCCCTATCCGATGATGTTGTTGGTTTGTGTGGGCGTATTTTGGTTCGCGTTTAAAGGGCCTTATAGGCCGTTCGCAATGCTGAGTTTCAAAATTGTTTTAAACGACTCGACAATTCTATAATTTGAAACTGTCAAAAATAAAACTGCAACACGATCAGCACAACGCACAGTTCTAAAAGATGTTTGTAATAATCAAGTTCCATAAACTTTACTGTTCCCTATGAAGTTCATAGAGTTTTTTTTTGTGAAGTTCTTCGAAACATCTTTAAATACATACCGAAATTTGAAACAGAGTTCCATTTGTGTTTCAAACTCGCTCAGAAATAAAACAGAATAGTCGAGCAGTTGCAAATCTGGTGCAAAAAAGTGCTCGAATAATGAAACTGCAACTCAGCATTGCGAGAGGTGCGTTTTTGTTCTAGTTTCAAATTGAAACAGTCCTTGAAAAATACAACAGATTGTGAACGGCCTTAGAAAGTTTGTTATAGGCCTTTTGTGCCGTTATCAAATGTTATGCCTGCCCTTATATCTTTTGGCAAATTTCTATTGCTGATTATTCCGAGGATTATTCATAAAATGTGTAAGTCAACAGACACCTTGCAAAAAGTTAATGAAGATCATGTGTCAAGTGAAATGTATAAATGCACGCAAAGAAAACTCGTTGCTAAAATTAAAAAATCCATTGATAGAATTAAATCAAAAATATAAATGTTCATTCTATTAACATATGAATAATTCAAAATAAATTAAAAACATGTTTGCAACAAAAATATATATGTTTGAATTTACGATTTTTAGCGTACCTTGCCTTTTTTTCCTACTTGTTTACATTCGGAAAAAAAATTGCCCCAGCTTTGCCAATCAACTGAAAACGACCCGCAACAAAACCGAAGTTTCGACAGTATCGACGTCACTCTGTCGTTTCTGATGCCGATCCCTGTATCATCCTCCTCCACAACTGACGTCGGAAGAAAAACGAAAATCCAGAATGGATTTTGAATCTATTCCGGATCTTCCAGCCCATCCTCCTCCAACACCGAACGTAGAAAGAGGCCGGTATGAGGACGTTAGAAACGACAAATCATTGGACAGTTCGTATACGCCAAGATCAGTCAAGTTGCTTTTTACACCGTTGCTTTTTCGCGAGATTGCGAGTTATTAACAGATTGTTTATTCCTTCAGTGAGTGCGAATAGTTTGATAAATTGACAGGAAGTCGTGTCACAGTGGGGGTTTACCCCGATAAAACCATACCGGCGAGTAAAATTGAAATAAATAGTGAACCATTATTATCGGACAAGCGTATAGAGTCGCAAAAGTGGCGACAGCCATTGCTGTCAATTGACCCATATCAGGTGATGTAGAGATCTTGCATGCAAGTTCTTATATAATCACAAGAAGATTGTGTCGTGATTTGAAGTGACGGTTGATTACATTTAATTAATTGGTTGCGAGTTATATTCTCTGTGTGGCGCGAGTGGAAGACAAAAAATTTTCGAGCAAGTGTTTCTCTCGATTTTAGCTTAATTTTCTCTAGAGTTTCATCGAAAAAGCGGTTCTGACAAACAACTTCCGTCACCGATTCCCCCCAGCCATGTCGCTGGCGTGGGACTTTCCCCCCCTCCCAGACTCCGGAGAAGGGGCAAGTGACACAATCTATGGATCATATACGGGTGCGACACTGCCGGCCTACATGGACCCACAAGGTTTGCACGGTGAAATTGTGGTGTTAAGGATGGAATCCGATACCGAATCCGGAAAACTACCGGAGCATCCTTTCTTGATTCGCTCGTCTATCGAGAAGTGGATAAAAGGAAAAATTGATGGTGCTTTCCCTGAATCTAGAGGTAAAACATACGCACTCAAAGTCCGTTCGCAGAACCAAATGAAACGCCTCCTCGCCATGGATCAGCTCTCCGATGGAACCAAGATCAGGATCACCAAGCATGCCAGTCTCAATACCACCCGTTGCGTAATCAATTGCCCAAGCATAGCAAAGGTAACCGATACCGACATTCTGTCGTATCTCAAGGATCAGAAAGTCACACAAATTCGCCGGATTACTAGGAAAGCAAGAACCGGGACCGAAAGAGAGAATACAGCTACTGTTATTCTGACAATCGATGGAACCCGCATTCCAGAACACGTTGACGTTGGGTATCTAAGGTGCAGAACCCGGCCCTATTACCCAGGACCGATGCTCTGTTTCCAATGCTTCGCTTTCGGGCACACAAGCAAACGATGTCAGCAAGCAGATAAGACATGTGGCCAATGCGCAAAAAAACACATTACTGTTCAGGGAGAAAGCTGTTCTGCCATCTCGTTCTGTCCCAGGTGTAACACGAATGATCATTCCATAGCTAGTCGGAACTGCCCGGTGTATAAGACGGAAGACGCAATACAACGTATCCGTGTTGACAAGGGAATCCCATACCCAGCGGCCAAAAGGATTTTCGAGGTGGCCACCGGAGAGAAATCCTTTGCTGGAGTCACCAACAAGAGTAAAGATTCCGATTTCGCTGACCTCTCAGCTAAATTTGACCTTCTCCTCAGCCAAATGGAGGAAAAGGATCGCAAGATTGCAGAATTGGAGGCAAAGAACCAAAGTTCTTCAACCACTAGCAAAACGGATATTGATGAACTCCGACAGATGATCGTGAACTTGCAAACCGAAGTACGACGTAAAGACGAACGTATTCAAGCCCTAGAATCAGCCCTGAAACCGGAAAGTCGGTTGAACATCATACAGAAACACGGGACCATCGAAGACTTAGTAGCCAGAGGAGTCAAGTCTCTCGAGACCACCGTATCCCAAAAAGATAAGGAGGTTGCCAATCTTCGCCTTGTTAATCAGCAGTATAAAAAGCTCATCACAAATACCAGCTCAAAACTCCCGACACCATCTGTCCCAAAAGAGAACACCAAACAGGAGCAACAACAACAAAAATCCCAACATACACCACACGAAAAACCCTCTGGAACGAAGAAGAAGCAAAATAAACAGACAAGCGACGAAGTAGACTCAAAACGGTCAAAAACACTGGCATACATCTCTGATACTGAAATTGAACTCGACCCTTCGCCATCTGTAGAAAAGGTTGTCGACAACGAGCTTATCTCCTCGGAAGACGAGGTGATGTCCACCGAGGACAACTCAACTCCAAAGGAAGACTAGACCTCCACAACCCAGTCCGTCTTACCTGATCAACCGGAAAAGAATTCCCAAAACAATCAACATGCACTTCCCAACAAACAATTCACAGTCACAAATAAGCATACACATTGAATAAATGCTGTATAACAGTGTACAATGCTGAATAAAACAGGATGTCGAATTATGTCCTGAAAAAAGCTCATTGAGATCAATAGATGCGCCTTTATTCCGCCGTTTGCTCTGATATGATTAATTTACTTATTGAAAGCTTTATAAACGTTGACTGTCTTCCTGATTCAGAACCAGAAGTTTGATCTAATAACAAACTGAATAAGTGTAATTTGCACATACATTGTCGCTTTAATTTGACTGTTTTCAATTGCTTTAATAAAATGCCTTATTAGACGTCTTATAAATGTTTTCTAGCTCCATTATTAGATTTCATTGCATTGCTTTACAGTATTGCTGTATAAAGGTGAATACAGTCAGAAAAATAGCTCTTATACCACTATGCATCCACGTTTTAGTTGAATGCTTTGTAAATGCTTTATAAACGACGTATTAGATTCATTATTCCACAACACTGCCCGAAAAACAATTCAGAGTCACAAATAAGCATATAGATTGAATAAATGCCTTATAACAGTGTACAATGCTGAATACAACAGGTTGTCAAATTATGTGCTCAGAAAACCTCATTGAGATCGATAGATGCGCCTTTATTCCGCTCATTGCTCTGATTTGATTAATAAACTTATTAAAATCTTTACAAACGATGACTGTTTTCCTGATTCAACACCAGAAGTTTGATCTAATAACATACTGAATAAGTGTAATTTTCACATACATTGACGCTTTAATCCAACTGTTTCAATTGATTTAATAACATGCTTTATTATACGTCTAATAATTGTTTTCTAGCTCCATTACTAGATTCCATTGCATTGCTTAACAATATTGCTGAATAAAGGTGAATACAGTCAGCATAATAGCTCTTATACCACTATGCGTCCATGTTTTAATTGCATGCTTTGTAAATGCTTTACAAACGGCGTATTCATTCATTATTCCACAACACTGCTTCAGGCTAACAACAAAACGAAATTAGTAGCATAGTGGTTACCGTTTCCGCTTTCCAAGTAGAAGGTCGCGAGTTCAATCCCAGCCTCAACACTTTTTTTATTTATTTTCTACGCCTAATTAATTTAAATCGTAATCATAAATCGTATCACTCAGGACAACCAATTCATAGATCTAT